TGGAGCAGAAAGTCTCCGTTCCGGCTCTGCCCGCAGAGGCGGCGGCAGGATGGCCCACACTGAGGCCGGGGGCACTGCCACTGCCACGCCCCCCTTTCTCCTCCCACACTGTTGTACAAGGCCCCAGAACTAGGAAGCGCCCCCTGGGAGGGAAACGACCCCGGCGAGGGGAAGTGTGAGGGGAAGTGCAGCTGCCTCATTTCCTGCTTGGCTCGCTGGCGCCTCTTGGCTCAGGGACCGCGCTCTGCTTGGCGGACGGGGGGCGGAAGCCTCTCCCGGGGGCCGGGGCCTTCTCGACCCCATCCTAGCCAGCGCCTGCCCCCGTCTCGGTCGCCTGTTTTTCCTCGCCTCCACCCCCAACAGAATGCCCGTTCTCTACCCTGTGGGAAAAACTGTTGTGGAGACGTCTCCTTAAACCTTCCAGCAGCTTCCCGTTGCACTTAGAAGAAAACTCAGTCTTCCCGCCGCCACAGAGCTCTGACTAGCCCAGGCCGCCTCCGTCTTCCACCTCATTCCTCCCCTCTCCCCACCATGTGCCAGGCTCCAGCCAATGACCTTCCAGTTAGTGCTTTAAACCTGACAAGCTCTTTCCTGCCTCAAGGCCTTTGCACTTGCTGTTTGAGCTACCTGGAACACTCTGGCTTGACTCTTCACCTGGGGAGCTCGTCCTCCAATTCTTAGCCTAAAACTCACCTAAAAGAGGCTTCCTTCTTCACCACCCTAATCATATCACCATCTATGCACTTACTACAGTCTGTAATCATTGTTTATTGTGTATCTCCATGGTGCCAAGTATTTAGCGGTCTCGCAAAAAACGTTTGTCGACTGAATGGGCAGTAGAGAGGTGCTGAGAAGAAACTAGGGAGGTGGGGGAGCAGGGCTGCTGAAAGACTCGAGGGCCTGTCTGCAGGGGGTCAGCTACAAGAACCCTCTGCCCAAGCTTTCTTAGACCGCTCGCTCCCTTTCCCTCCCACTCACAGCAGACTTGTCTACTAGATCCATTTACTGAACTTTCAGAAATTCCTGAGAAGCCTCAAACCAGTGGGTTTTCAACGCCAGTTATGGAAGATTTGATGCAACTGCCTTGTAAGACATCTGGTAGCAAACCTGTTGCTCCTAATTCCAGAGCATTCCATGGTACAAGAGTGCAGGTCCAAGTGAAGAAAAACATGATTCTCGACCTGGAGACATGTAAGAAGTCCTGGGGAGACAAAACAAGGTGCAGAAGCCGGGCTCGGTGGTTCAGCCTGTAATCCTGCACTTTGGGAGGCTGAGGTGAGTGGATTGCCTGAGCCCGCAGGTTCCAGACCTGCCTGGGCAACTTGGCGAGACCTCATCTCTACAATAAATCAAAAAATCAGCTGGGTGTGATAGCGCGTGCCTGTAATTCCGGCTACTCGGAAGGCTGAGGCGGAAGGATCGCCGGAGCCCAGCAGGTCGAGGCTGCGGTGGCCGGGAGCGGCCACTGCACTCCAGTCTGGGCGACAGAGTGAGACTCCAACTCAAAAAGAAAAAAAAACAAAACAAGGTGCGGAGAATGCCTTCCTGTAAAGAGGAACACACACCATGATGCAACTCCAAGGCAACTATGACAGTAGAAGGAAAAGTTGCTTTCTGTAGACTTCACCCATCGGCCAGCTCAGCACACGAACCCTGTTAAGTTCCAGTCTCTGTATGACAGTTGTGCAGACTTCAAAGTGACTTCTGTTTTCAGAATGAGCTGTTTTACTAGACAGATCTGTCTTTTCTTGTCACTACAATCTGGCCTATGAATTTAATTTACAAGTTGCTTAAAAGTACTCTTTGATCACATTTTCTTGGCCAGAGTATTTCTGCATTATTCTTTATTTATTTATTTATTTTGTAGACACAGAGTCTCTACTATGTTGCCTAGGCTGGTCTTGAACTCCTGGCCTGAAGCGCTTCTCCTGTCTCAGCCTCCCAAAGTGCTGGGATTATAGACATGAGCTACCACACCCGGTCTATTTTTGTATTAGATTATGGTAATTCTCAAACTTGAACAGTCATCATCACCTACAGGGCCTGTTAAATCTCAGATCATAGTGTGAGGCCTGGGTGGAGCCTGATGGTGGGCTTTTTTAATTTTTTTTTGAGTTGAAGTCTCACTCCATTGCCCAGATTGGAGTGCAGTGGCCGCTCCCGGCCACCGCAGCCTCGACCTGCTGGGCTCCGGCGATCCTTCCGCCTCAGCCTTCCTGGTAGCTGGAACTACAGGCACACGCTACCACGCCCGGCTGATTTTTTTATTTATTGTAAAGGTGAGGTCTCGCCAAGTTGCCCAAGCGGGTCTCGAACCCGCAGTCTCAGGCAATCCACTCACCTCGGACTCCCAAAGCACTGGGATCACTGGCTGAACCACCAAGCCCGGCCCCAGCTAATTTTTAATTTGTTGTAGAGATGAGGTTTTGCCAAGTTGCCCGGGCTGGAAGGGGCCACTTTCAGCAAGTTCCCTGGTGATGCTGATGCTCCTGGTTGGGGACCACACCCTAAGCACCTGTCTCTTGAATCCCACAGCAGCCACCCCGGGGGCTGGGTCCCATTTCTCCTCAGCCCAGGCTTGCATCCTATGGCTCACCGCTTGGATGCAGGACCAAGGCCTGAGGGCAGGAAGGGCTGGGGCAAAGATGGACGCTGACATGCCCCCACTCCTGTGGGCACCACGAGCCTGGCGTCTCAGCTGGCCTGCAGCGCCTGCCTGGGCTCGCTCACGGCCTGCGTCACCATCACACAAAGCCCCCTTTCACTGGCAGGGCTTCTGCTGAGCTGCAAGGCTGCTTGGGTTAACCCCGTTGAGAAAACAGACAGCCCCCGGGCGGCGGGCCAGTAGGAGCTGCTGGGCACAGAGGCTGGACTCTTCCTGGCCTGCAGGCGGGCTGAGCATCACGGCCTTGCCCCAGCCCAGCCCGCTCCGGTCGCCTGAGTGAGCCCGGACAAGCCCCGAGCCTCAGGGTCTCTATCTGTCCGTATCTCAGGGAACTCACACAACAAGGAGTTGTGCTGTGGAATACATGACACCAACTTCCAGTGTTTAGCCTGTGGCCTAGCATGCGGTGCATGACATCACTGATGGCATTCTGTGAATTTGCTGTTTTGATAGGGGAAGGATTGGCAATTATACATGGTTCATCCTAACATAAACTGGTTCATCAGTCACAAAACCACATGCTACCATTCCTTTCAGTATCTGGAGATGGCAAGTTTTGCTTAACAAACACCTGTTTCAACTACTAACTCTGTGAAGAGGATCTTCCTGATTTCCTCCATACCATGCAACCAAGAAAAGTCAAGACATAAACTGGCAGCAGAGGCTGATGTAAATCAGCAACTGGCCCATTCATGAAGACAGTCTCGAAGTTCTTACTGATTACTTTTAATAAACATATTTTGCTGGGCTCGGTGGCTCAGCCTGTAATCCCGCACCTTTGGGAGGCTGAGGTGAGTGGATTGGCTGAGCCCGCGGGTTCGAGACCCGCCTGGGCAGTGAGACCTCATCTCTACAATAAATCCAGAGATCAGCCGGGCGTGGTGGTGCATGCCTGTAATTCCGGCTACTCGGAAGGCTGAGGTGGAAGGATCACTAGAGCTCAGCAGGTCAAGGCTGCGGTGGCTGGCAGCGGCCACTGCACTCCAGTCTGAGCGACAGAGTGAGACTCCAACTCAAAAAATGATAATAAAAATAAAAATAAAATAAGCATATTTTATAAATGTGAAATAACAAAATGTCAATGTTAAGGCAGAGCTTTTATGTTTGAATACTGGATTTTGGATACACGTCTTTTTTTTTTTTTTTGAGTTGGAGATCACCCAGGCTGTAGTGTAGTGGCATGCTCATGGCCACCGCAGCCTTGAACTGCTAGACTCAGGCGATCCTTCCACCTCAGCCTTCCAAGTAGCAGAAGCCACAGGTGTGCACCACCATACCTGGCTAATTTTTTGGTCTATTGTAGAGATGAGGTCTTGTCAAGTTGCCCAGGTTGTTCTCAAACCCCTGAGTTCAGGCAATCCTCTCACCTCGGCCTCCCAAAGTGCTGGGATTACACGCAATGAGCCACCGCCCCTGGTGGATGCACGTGTTTTTTTGTTTTTTTTTTTCAGTTGGAGTCTCACTCTGTCGCCCAGACTGGAGTGCAGTGGCCGCTCCCGGCCACCGCAGCCCCGACCTGCTGGGCTCCAGCGATCCTTCCGCCTCAGCCTCCCGAGTAGCCGGAATTACAGGCATGCACCACCACGCCCGGCTGATTTTTGGATTTATTGTAGAGATGAGGTCTCGCTGCCCAGGCGGGTCACAAACCCGCGGGCTCAGGCAATCCACTCACCTCAGCCTCCCAAAGGCGCGGGATTACAGGCTGAGCCACCGAGCCCGGCAGGTGACATTGCTTTTTGTTTTTTTTTTTCAGTTGGAGTCTCACTCTGTCGCCCAGACTGGAGTGCAGTGGCCGCTCCCGGCCACCGCAGCCCCGACCTGCTGGGCTCCAGCGATCCTTCCGCCTCAGCCTCCCGAGTAGCCGGAATTACAGGCATGCACCACCACGCCCGGCTGATTTTTGGATTTATTGTAGAGATGAGGTCTCGCTGCCCAGGCGGGTCACAAACCCGCGGGCTCAGGCAATCCACTCACCTCAGCCTCCCAAAGGCGCGGGATTACAGGCTGAGCCACCGAGCCCGGCAGGTGACATTGCTTTTTGTTTTTTTTTTTCAGTTGGAGTCTCACTCTGTCGCCCAGACTGGAGTGCAGTGGCCGCTCCCGGCCACCGCAGCCCCGACCTGCTGGGCTCCAGCGATCCTTCCGCCTCAGCCTCCCGAGTAGCCGGAATTACAGGCATGCACCACCACGCCCGGCTGATTTTTGGATTTATTGTAGAGATGAGGTCTCGCTGCCCAGGCGGGTCACAAACCCGCGGGCTCAGGCAATCCACTCACCTCAGCCTCCCAAAGGCGCGGGATTACAGGCTGAGCCACCGAGCCCGGCAGGTGACATTGCTTTTTGTTTTTTTTTTTCAGTTGGAGTCTCACTCTGTCGCCCAGACTGGAGTGCAGTGGCCGCTCCCGGCCACCGCAGCCCCGACCTGCTGGGCTCCAGCGATCCTTCCGCCTCAGCCTCCCGAGTAGCCGGAATTACAGGCATGCACCACCACGCCCGGCTGATTTTTGGATTTATTGTAGAGATGAGGTCTCGCTGCCCAGGCGGGTCACAAACCCGCGGGCTCAGGCAATCCACTCACCTCAGCCTCCCAAAGGCGCGGGATTACAGGCTGAGCCACCGAGCCCGGCAGGTGACATTGCTTTTTGTTTTTTTTTTTCAGTTGGAGTCTCACTCTGTCGCCCAGACTGGAGTGCAGTGGCCGCTCCCGGCCACCGCAGCCCCGACCTGCTGGGCTCCAGCGATCCTTCCGCCTCAGCCTCCCGAGTAGCCGGAATTACAGGCATGCACCACCACGCCCGGCTGATTTTTGGATTTATTGTAGAGATGAGGTCTCGCTGCCCAGGCGGGTCACAAACCCGCGGGCTCAGGCAATCCACTCACCTCAGCCTCCCAAAGGCGCGGGATTACAGGCTGAGCCACAGAGCCCCGCTCATGCACGTCTTTAGGAAAGTGCTAAGTTATGTGAAGTCAACGGGCGAGTCTCCACTCTCCATGTCTATAATCCAGGGAAATGGGGTGAGGAAGGAGGGGACGTGGGTGCTGGAAGGGGCTGTTAGGAAGGCACCACTGACAAGCCCGTCCTGCCCAAGCCCTGAGGGCAAAGCTTGGCCTATGGGACGGCAGGTTCCAAACCCGCAGCACCAGCTGGCAATGTCACTTGTAGGAGCCACTTGGCCCCTGCCCAGATATGACAGAGGCAGCTCAGCTGCTTCAGACAACATGACCCCGGGCTGGTGCAGGGGAGCTGGGAGAGACCACCCCGGCACTTTCCATGGCCCAGCTTTCCAGGCAGAGTATTCTGGTGACAACACTCCTAACACCCTTCAAGACGATGTCAGTCAACCAACCAACCAGCTCCTCTGGCTGCTGACCACTGAGGTTCAAGCAGCAGAGACACATAGCTCCCTCAAGTGATGGGGGCTTAGTGTGAAAAGAGCCACGGGCCCAAGCACAGAGGACAGCAGGCAGGCACCAGGAGGGAACGGAGGTGCCTCCGACTCACACTGGCGTGCAGGTGTTTTTGTGGCTTCTTGAGTGGTTTTTACTCTCTGCCATTAATGGTCCCCAGATAAAGCTGCTTCTGTCTTCTAGCCTCTGCTACCCCAGTGGGCAACCCACCATGTATATCTGAGGAGAGAAGAGGCCAGAGCGGCTCACACACTTACAAGGTACCACAATGGAATCTGTCCCCAACTGGCCTATGTGTGGATTCATTCTGGTCTTTAAGAACTTGAACAACTTAACGGATTGATTTCCAGGTTCCTCTTGTCTACCCCGTCCAGACGGCGTGGGATAGTGTGGCAGACAGACTTGAGTTAAGAGGTTTGGGCTCAGGTCTTAGCTCTGGGTGCAACCTCGGGACCAAGCTCTCTGAGTCTGTCTCTTCAAGCAGGTAATGATGCCTGCCCTACAGAACAACGGTACAGAATCAGATGTGTCTTAGCCCTGAGCTCAGCGCCTGGCACAGTACGAGCAAGCGGCAGTTCTTACTACAGTTTGTAACTAGGCCCCAGAGCAGGAAAGGCTGTCAGGGCAGAGTCTGTCCCCTGCTCTGGCCCATGCTCCTGGCTGCAGGGGCCGCACCTACTTTTCGAGGGAAGCTGCTGACACCCCCGAGGGGAAGCCGCTGGTGGAGCCCTGCAGTCATCACTGCTGTCACTCCACTCCTGATGGAAGAGGAAGCTGAGCGCTCCGACACTCAGAGGGGGCAGTCCTTTGGAAACCCTGTCACATCTCTTGACGGAAAGGTCCCGTCTCAGACTGGACAGGGTTTTCTCATTTTTTTCATTCCGGACCCAGGACCCAGACAAAGAGCGTCCGACGGAGGACATTGGTTCTCTGAGCAGCCACGGGTGGGTGAGGCTTTCCACCCCAGGGGTTGGTCATCACAGCCAGAGGGACACTTCCATAACCAGCCCAGGCCAAGGGGGAAGGCCTGTCTGGGGCAAGCCCTGTGGCGCCTACAGGCCCTACCTGGGGCACTGAACACCCCTCTTACCCACCAAGGTAAGGCCCATTAAACCCCAAACAGACCAGATTTCTGAATCTCTTAGGGAAAAAAAGCCAAGATGTGGCCTCAGCGGGCCACAGGTTTGCATGGCAATCATCTCTGGAGCTGAGGGGCAGCCACCGCCCCCCGGGGCTGCCTCTTCAGGCGGAGGGGGGACCAAGATGAGTAGAAGCAACACAGCCCATGATCTCAAGGAGTCCAGAGCTCAGAAGTGGATGACATCTTCGCAGAGGTCACGTGACACAAGGGAGACAGCGCAGAGGCGAGGATGGGGGGGCTCCCAGTCCAGTCTGGGCACGGGTCCAGAGAGTGGTGCCCAGAAAGCTCCTCAGCGAACTGATGGATGGCATAGGACTCAAAGGACGCACCAGACCGTTTTCCCATTATGAAAATAGCTTTATTTGAGTTTTCTGATATAATAATACACAGAAATTTTAAGCAATATAAAATGGTATAAAAAAGTAATGCAAACTTCCACCTCTAG